TATATATTCCTAGTTAGGCTGCACAATGAAATGCACTTGTTGACTAGCTCATACATAAAGTTTCTTTAAATGCATTTGGAACAATTTTGCCTACTTGTGTAGAGTGAGTGGCTGCTATGTGTGGTAATCTCAGAAGCTTGAAGAATAGATTTCTTTCTTTTCTCAGGAGCATTCACTTAGGTTTTACTTTCACGTTTGTAATGCCAACAGTTTTTGGTTTAAAATCTGTCATCATTGAAAGAATCATGGCTGATGAATAGGGAGTTAGATTCATAAAACTTGTCCCTATAGCATAGTGGTTAAGTCTGGCGCATTCTGCTTCAGCGGCCTGGGTTCACGGGTTCGGGTCCCAGGCACGGACCTATGCCACTTGTCACGCCAGGCTGTGGTGGCGACCCACATACAAAATAGAGGAAAACGGGCACAGATGTTAGCTTAGGGCTAATCTTCCTCAAGCGAAAAAAAAAAAAAAAAAGAAGAAGAATATTGGCAAAAGTGTTAGCTTAGAGCAAATCTTCCTCACCAAAAAAAAAAAACTTGAGAACTAGAACAAGTCTTATAGATGAACTAACGCCACCTCTTCTGTTTAATCATGAGGACACTGAGGCCAAAGACAGAAACTGACTTGGCCAAGTAGATACCGAGAGCAGAAGTAACATCAGACCTGCATACACCGTCCTCTACTGTGTCACCCTGCTGCTGTAGATTAGACTTGTCACTTTTATATGTGCTCATTATTATTGTTGTGCAAATTCTGAGTAGAAATTCCACTTCTCATGTGTTTCAAAAAAAAAAAACTTGTAAAAGGGCAGTAGCTTATTATGTGCGAGACCAATGTTCCAAACTCAGTTTTAGAGAACTGAAAGTGTGTTGTTATTTCTAGTTTTGTGTTGAGTGATGTCTGACTTCGAATTTCAGATGCTCTTGTTTCAGTGGTGCTCATTGTGACTGGCACCCCATTCACCGAAGGTTTTCAAGTTTACCTGTACTTTCTGTGAATTAAAGCTTCTTTCATGCTAAGGTTTCTTTAATGCCAATACAAATCTAAGTATATTGCCAACAGAGAAATTGTGATAGAGAACACATTTTGTCATCGTTTAGCCCACCGAGCCTTTAAGCAGTTTCTAAATGAAGTAAAAAGAGCATAGTTTATGAAAGATAGAGTCAGGGTTTAAAGATTTTTTTTTTCTGTGTAGGTTATAATCTCACATGATACCAGTGGGTCGTGTTTCTGCTTCTATTGCATCTTCCACAGTCTTAGTAATAGTTGTTAATTGATACTAATGAATGTAATACTTTTAGGAAAGCACTTGCCCCATCTGATCTAATTTATGGTCATTTTTAGCATTTATTGAGCAAGTTAATTCTGTGGAAAAGAACCAAAGTCACAGAATGCAAAGAAGCATTTTACACAGAGAATTAAATTTTAGTAGAAATGTGACATGTTCTACAAGTTTGGTTTTGTGATTACCTTAATGCCTTAAGGTCTTTAAACTTTTTGCTTATGTACCCCTTGAACACTTATAAGTTGACACATACAATTTTTCATCATAAGAGTCAAATAACTGCCAAGAGTATAGTTTCTAACATTATAAATATTGATATGTAATAGTAAAACTCTACCATCACTCCTTTAAATGTATTCAATGGAATTTAAGTACCAGAGATATTTGATATCCACTATCACCCATTTAAAAAAATAAATAGAAACAGAATTATTTTCTAATTTCCTAGGATAATTAGCTTCTAAGTATTTTTTAAAATGTCTTCCGGGCCGGCCCTGTGGCTTAGCGGTTAAGTGCGTGCGCTCCGCTGCCGGCGGCCCGGGTTCAGATCCCGGGTGCGCACAGAGGCACCACTCCTCCAGCCATGCTGAGGCCGCGTCCCACATACAGCAACTAGAAGGATGTGCAGCTATGACAGACAACTATGTACTGGGGCTTTGGGGGAAAAATAAATAAATAAAAACTCTAAAAAAAAAAAAAAAATGTCTTCTGGATTGAGTAATTAAAAAAATAATTAATAAAAAGTAATAAAAATTGTGCAAAATTAAACTATCCTAAATATATTACAATTTTGATAAAGGATTATTAAACACAAAATAAATTTATTGAAATGCATTACTTAATAAAGTGGAAGGAGGCAGGGTTGAGCATCTGGACGATGACTCCCTTATGGTTATTATACCTTGTGAAAAGTCCTCTTGTATCTTTGTACACATCCCAGTTTGAAGGCTGCCTTAAGTGACTGGCTGTGCCTTCTACAGGAGGTTATTACAGTTACTACACAATATCATTTAGTGACTAAGAGCAGGCATTTGAGAGGCATACCGTTTGGGCCTGAATTCCAGCTCTGAGTCCCAGATCTTCCTGTTACTAATTGCATGACTTTGGGAAATCTGCTTAACTCCACTGTTCCTCTGTTTTCTCACCTGTAAAATGAGGATAACAGTTGGCTGTCGCACAGGTGAAATGAAATAATACTTCTAACGTGCTTAGAATAGTGTCTGACACATGCTGGTTAGCTGTACAGTCAATTCTAGATAATCTTTTAAATTCTTTTGAGAATGTTATATCTTAAAGTGTCTGTGAGCATTTCTCAGGCAGATTTAAATAATTTGAGGATTATCCGTTGATACTTTCCTTACCTCTATCCTGATCCGTCAGATAATTTCCTACATTTCGTATAAGAAAATACTAAAAATTTCCCCACGCATGTGTATGCATACATATATTTGTGTACACACATGTATCTAAGCCTGTGAGGACTTAATGTCTGCCCATGATAGGGAAGCACATTATCTATAGCCACAAATATTTATTGAACACCCACTGGAAGTGAAAGTTATGTTTGACAAAGAAGAGAAAAACCTACTCTAAGCCTTGCCCTTGTAAGGGTCTTACAAGAGGTATGAAGATTAAAACCAATTTTGAAAATAATTTGAATTTTTTGAAAAATAACAGTCTCTCTCAGTTAAAGAGAAACAATGAATTCAGATTCACCTAGATAAGGAAGTGATGTAGGTAACAGGAAAAGCAGGAAGTGTAGGAAGAAAAAGTAGTTGTTCATACCTTAAATTTGTAAGTCAATTAATAATGTAGCATCTTAGCAGAATCAAGGTGTAGACGCTAGAATTCAGATTATGAATGTCTTTAAGTTTTCTCTCTAAGAATTGCTATAAAACTCATTAAGTACAAGATAGCAATCTGACTTCACTACTAGCAATTTTTGCTAGCACTCCTTGACCTGAACTTTGTTACATTGTTAGGAAACAAGGATATACTTACACCAGTATATTTCTTTTATATATGCTGTTGAACAGAACCAGTAGTTTACCGTTAAGATATTTTTCAAAATATACTTTTTTATTTATATTCATGTTCATTTGCTTTTTCCCTAGTATACATTAATTGAATAGGAAAGAACTGGAAAACTGAGAACTTTGGCATGAACATTTTATGAGACTGTGGGATGAGAGGCAGGACAGTTTCTCTCGAGTGTTATATCAGGGCTTTCTGCCTTTGTAGTTATATACTGTGTTTAATTCACCAATTATCTAGGGAGTTTACACTCCCTCCCCGCCAAAGTTATATGGTATTTTAAAAATTTAAGTTAATTAGAAATAATTTTGTTGTGAAGGTTATTATATCTTTTGAAATAATTATTATCATGCATTATACAATATCACAAAACCAATGGAAATCATTGTTAGATTCACGTAAAAACATTGCTTAAATAAGGGAGATCTTTTATTAGGCCATACATAAGTCAGGAACCTTCTTAGCATATCACTTTCTTTGGTGGGCCTGGAAAAAAAATACTACAAAATTTGATTTTAGCTCACATGGTTATTAAGAGTCCCTCAGTTTATGCTTAGTTATATTTTAGAGTAGTTAAATGTGGAATTAATTTTAATAATGAGAATCCTATTCTGATGTTTGGGTTTCATGATAAATTTTGAACTGTCTTCCTGGGATTTAAAAATAATGTCTAGTAGTCTGAAATAAACTTTTAAAAAAGAAGTGGGTGTACTTTTCTACTGGTGTTTTAGGGGAAGGAATTTCTCAGTACTTATTCTGTTCTCTAATATATTCTTTCCGCCATTATTCTATCCCAACCCAAGCCCTTTCCAGGACCATGAGAATTTCTCCCATTTAAAGATCCTTAGTCCTTTCTTTCAGTACGTAGAACTTTTCATCCTTCCTTTACCTCTGTGTGTAAGCCTGTAGGAATTCTAAATGCCTTAGGCTACAGTATTTCACTTCTGTGAAGGACCTTTTTTGTACATGATATTCTCTAACCCAAACATTCTCCAAGGTCCAGGCCCCATGAATCTGTAAATGCAAAAGGAAAGTGATTTGGAATTCCTAAAAATATTATAGACTGTTTTAACTTGTGCCATTTTATGGACTTTCAAGTATTGGTATGATTAAAACTAAGCCAACAGTGTTCCCCGAAAAGGTTTTTTAGAAAACCCTATAATGAATAGATGATTTGTTGTTAACTTATCAGTAAAGTTTGTATAAATGGATTCTTCTGTCTAAAGATTATGAAGTGTGTTCTCTTAGGTAAATAAATACTTTTTAAAGTATTGCTTTTATTATTATTTTTTAAAACACTTTCAGTCTTTTTTACAAAATTATTTTACTTAGCAATTCTTTATTCACCCTCTTTGGGAATGTTGTAAGGATAACTTAAGCTCTTTCTATGAATAAATGGCTTCCTAAAAAGCTTTTCTGCTCTGCTAGTTTTACAAAATAAAGCATAAACTACTACTTCCTCTAGGGTCTTAGCGTGCTCTCTTAGTTATTAGTTAATACACATAGCATATTGTTATGGTTTTTCATGTCCCCCGATCACTAGATTATAAACACCTTGAAGGCAGGAGCCATGACTTGCTCGGCTCTCTGTTCCCCATGGCAGCAGCTTAGTGCCTTAAATATGAGTACATAGTAAAATTTGTGATAAGCAAGAACTCAAAATATTATTTTTTTAAACAGATTTGGTTCATTTGACTTGTACGTCTTCTAAAACAGCAAGAGAAGATTTAGAACCAGTTGTGCAGAAATTGTTTACTCCATATACCGAAATGGAGATAGGTAAGAACAATAACCAGTGATTCATGATGGAAAGGTAATGTAACCACTTTATTCTTCTTCATTATCTCACGAAGTTTTCTGCAACCTCAACTGAAATGTGATGTATTCAGCAACAATGCTTATGTGTTTTACTAGGATGGTGACCACAGTCGCTTCCTAAAAATGGGAAAATATTCACTTTATAATGGTGAAGGAAAAATATACATCTCACATAATGTATATAATTAAGTGCAAAAATATACATTTATATGTGTACATACTCACATGCAGAGAAAAAAGGCTGCCAGGAAATCTCTCAATGTCGGTGGGATTATGGACAATTTTTATTTTCTTTCCTTTCAGTTTTCTTTATTTTACAGGTATACAAAGAGTATATATTCCTTTATCAGAAAAAGTTACCCTCATTTATGAAAAAAAAGTTGGTTCAACTGAGAGAAGGTTAAAATATTAATTGACAAATATAAGAATCCTTCTTAACTAATAATTGTCTTTTAATGCATAGCACGCTAGTGATGTGATAAATGTTTAGCTCTCAAGATATATATGCCACTATGCTACTTATTCATGGTGGAAAAATGGTTTTCAAGCGTGAATTTTTAAACTTTTCTCCCCACATTTTAGGGTAGCTCTTGTAGCTGTGAATGGAGCAAATTGTAGTGTATTTTGTATGTAAGTGATCAAAAAAATAGCCTGATGGATCTTCTCCATTTATATGAAGTGAGGATGATTTTCATTATAAGATTTGCATGCCCACTTGAATCATGGCCGGTTTCCTCATTGATTCACATATCTTCATTTTCTTTGGATGTTATATTTGTTCAGGCAACCGTTTATTTACTCCTACATATTGTATTTCCTTTTAGTTCATCTCCTCTGTGTCTTATTCGTTTCTTGATGCAGAGATAGTGCATAGAGGGGCATTTATATTTACATAAGAAAGCAAACTGCTTTCTTCTCAGGAGCTAATATCAATATAATTAATTATTTCTTGAGCTGCCTGAATAAAATCCTTCAATATGAAAATTTACTTCACTTCAATTTTGAATTTAATTTGTTTCATATTTACATAATTTTTTTCATTAGAAAGTCTCCTATAAATGTTTGGATTATTGTTAAAAATTTGGTTGCAAAGTTATGATACATGATAATATTCCTAAACCTAGTATGGAATCATAGTTTTATCCTTGGCTTTAATTACCTTATAAAAGCTCTGAATTCCTTCTTTATTTCTGAAGTTTTTCATAATTTTTTTGTTGTAATTTTATTGTGTGATAGTCCAAATAATATACTAAATTTGAATCTTGTATCACTGCTCTTCACTTTTTAAATGCATTTAATTTTCTTTTTTAAAAAATCAAGCTGAGAGAAATTACATGTTCATTACTTAGCATTCTCTAGCCATTTTAGATTTTTAAACATTCATCTTAATGGTTAAAGAGATCCCATTTTGAAATGATGTATTGTTTAGAACCCGAGTGAAATTCTTTAGTAAGAACTGTGTGCTCAGAGGGGTCCTCAGGTGCACTGAGGCACTGAAAAGCTAGTTTTCACTGACACACAGGCCTTTTTATCATCAGGATGAGGTAGTGGTCATATTTTAATTAAAATGTCAGAACAAATACTGTTGGAGTTATTGAAAATGAATCACCAGATAAAGTGAGCACTGGGCCATGGCAGGTCAAAGAGGCAAAGTCACCTGGAGAAGAGAGCTCAATTCATTTTCCTGCCTAAATGAGGAAGAAGGAACTTTATGAGCAATATGAACTTTTAATACATTAAAGCACATTCTTCTCTGTAGCAAAGGCCCCTATTTTCACAGATTGATGACTTTTATTATTATGTTTTAATTATTTGACAATATGAAACCTTACGCTTTAGAGCATTGTAAATGTTTTGTTTTAAAACGTGTGCCAAAGGAATAACATTTGAGCTTATTTTCTTTTTCTTTTTGAGCTCTACGTTCTGTTTTGTGTAATGCTGTGTTTCATAAGCCTTTGTGAAAGTCAGCCTAGTCACCTTGCAAAGAAGTGTTATTTATTGTAAACGATAATGTTCTCTTCTCAAATACAGGACTTCTTTGCTAATGTGTCTGAGAAATTTCAGTAGGGTTGTGAAGATATTCCCTCTGTTCTCCCTCTTACTTACTTTTTCGCGTTTAAGGTATGAACCAGAGCTCTTGATGTTTGCTCTGTCTTAAGAAGCAGTTGTACTGGGGCCGGCCCAGTGGCGCAAGCGGTTAAGTGCGTGCACTCCACTGCGGCGGCCTGGGGTTCACCAGTTCGGAACTCCGGGCACGCTCACCAGATCGGATCCCAGGCGCGCACCGACGCACCGCTTGTCAAGCCATGCTGTGGCGGCGTCCCATATAAAGTGGAGGAAGATGGACATGGATGTTAGCCCAGGGCCAATCTTCCTCACACACACACAAAAAAGCAGTTGTACTAATACTTCCAAGGGCCCTAACTCCCATGCTCCTTTAAGAATATCGAAGATCTCTAAACCCTTTCCTACTTCCTACTCCAAAGAAATTTCACATACTTGATGCTTAGTGAACCTGATTCTGCGGGTGAGAAAATTAGTGATTGTTCACCATTCATATGTGCATGAATTATTCCAGACTCCAGAATATCCTTCAAAGCACTGAGTGAGCAGTATGTTCTAGTCTCCCTGGTAGTGCTGTCCTAAGTGGTTTCTTATTTTACCCAAGAAATTGAGATTTTCAATACAAAGTGAAGCAAGAATTTCATTAGTACTATATCTTGAAATGTCTACAATGTAGTATCATCACTGCACCATTTTCTTTCTCTTTTTCGCTCTGTTGTGCACGGCATGTGGAGTTATCTCATTCCATCTCATTCATTTCCTGTCTCAAAAGAGCAGCACTGCCTAAAAACAGAAATTCCCCTTATAGGTGTTATTTTGAAGTCAGTGGCTGGTAAGAGTGTTAAGTGGTTGTTGGGCTGAGAAGTCAAATGCCTTCATTCCTTTATGTATTTCTTGTCTACAGACTAGGTCATGACTGTGGCAGTCTCCTACTCTGTTGGTCTCCTGCTACTCTGCTATGTTAACTAATTTAGTTTACTCTCTGCCTAAACACGGCATGCAACTATAGACCATTTATTGCTTTTATTTGGTGGCCATTGTTGATTTTCTTCTGCCTACCTTATTTTGTACTTACCCTAGTTTAATTTGCCCAAGATCTCATTCTAAATTACCTATTATTTGTTTGGTCCTTTGCACTAATTAAATGAAATGAGCTATTACAGAAAACCAGTTCTACTTCTGGCCAAGTAATGTATTCCTAGCAAAACGTCGGTAACTTTAATATTTTTTTTTGACAATTGTGTACTTCACAACTGCATGTTATTTTTCTACCCATCTCTCTGCCTTGAAGCTGACCTCAAAGAAAGATGAAGCAATTATATATCTCTTTGAGAGTTTTAAGGTCAAAGCCTGGTAACTTCTTTGTATCTGGAGCATTTATCTTCAGCCTATGTCAACTTTTCATCTTCCTCATGGTTTCTTTTCAAAGCTTCAACCTCTATGAAATTTCTTTCCTATAATCTATTGAATTATTCATTTTCCCCAACTTCTATTGAGTGAAAGCCCTCCTCTGAGCTGGAACTTTCATGAAATACAAGATAAGCTCTCTTAGTATATGCTTAGAAATGGACTGGGCAATATTAAAAGACTTCCAGACCTTAGCCCACTTTTCTGCAATGTTCCTGGAGTCTGGTGTCACAAATCATAAGCAGTATGTTTAAGTATCTTCCTGTAAGATTTAGTGAAACCAAACTCACCAATAAATTTAGTAAAAGCCATATGGTTTTAGCTGTGAAATATGAGTTCCTTATGTTCCTTTATTTTGTCAATAAATAGATTTTGCCACCTATTGTGTGCTTACATGAAGTTAGTAATACCTTAGACTCATAGACCTTAGCATTGAAAAGGGACATCTTAAGGGATCACTTTTTCCATTCAGATTTTCTTCATTCTATCACACTAATAATTATAGATTATTCAGGATGAACTAGAAAAATAAAATATTTGGAATTCTTGTAGTGGAGATATTATAATTAAATATAATAAAATCCTATTTATCCTGAATTGGGGAATGGGACATTCTTGTTGATTGAATACTGCAATTAGCTGAGAATTTCTCTACAATGATTACCAATTTAACAATAAGAGTTAATTAACTAGATAATTATACCTTTAGCATTTTCTTTATGATTCACAAGATGCCTCAGATTCTTGGGTAATCTTCATACACATCCATTATTATCATTGTAGAGAATTTGAATTTTTGTTCAAATTCAGGCTAAAGAAAACACTGTAGTCAATAAATATATTAACAGCAATATTTTGTTTTCAACCAAAGAAAATTTAATTATAACATTTCTAAGGAGGAGAGGCAGAGAAATAATTATTAAGATAGCTAGAAATAGGCTTTAGCTATTGAGGTTTAATAAGGTTCAACCTTTTAATAAGCACGTCATACTTTGATTATACCTGAAAACAGGATTAAAATCAATTCAGAAATTATTCGTTGAGCACCTGTTGTGTGCTAGACCCTGTATCAGGGAACATGAAAAAGCAGGAGAGTAAGGACTAAGTCTGCTTCATCTGCTAGCCCAGTGCCTGACATGCATAATAGATGCTCGCTGTTAGATGAGAGAATGTGTGCTCAAAACAACTTGCTGTCTCACAACCTTATTTTTGTTATTTATTCATTGATTGCCATTACTTTTGTAATCCAGTAGGACGAAGTGTTAGTGAGTTAGGATATCGAAGTTTTAATCCTATATATACTATTTTAATAACAGCTTTATTGAGGTATAATTCACATACCATACAATTCACTCATTTAAAGTGTAAAATTCGGGGCCGGCCTGGTGGTGCGAGTGGATAAGTGCACACGCTCCACTGCGGCGGTCTGGGGTTCGCTGGTTCGGTTCCCGGGCACACACCGATGCACTGCTTGTCAAGCCATGCTGTGGCGGCATCCCATATAAAGTAGAGGAAGATGGGCACGGATGTTAGCCCAGGGCCAGTCCTCCTCAGCAAAAAAGAGGAGGATTGGCATCGAATGTTAGCTCAGGGCTGGTCCTCCTCACAAAAAAATAAATAGGTAAATAAATAAATAAATAAATAAAGTATAAAATTCGATGTTTTTTAGTATATTCACAGAATTGTTCAAACATAACCACAGTTAATTTTAGAATATTTCCATAACCCCCAAAAGACCCCATACCCATTGACAGTCATCCTCCACTTACCCCCAGTTCTGCACCCCCCTGCCCCGACCCTAGGTAACCACTAATCTACTTCCCCTCTCTATAGATTTGTCTATTCTGGACATCTCATAATCCTGTTTATAGTATTGACTTACTGCATAATTTTTCAAGTTGGTTGTCCATGTGAAACATAAGAAAATCAATTTATCTTATCTTCTCACTTCATAGGTATAATTTAAGGATGAATGTGATCATAAGCACTTTGATACTGGTGAGCAGAAATAATAGAAATCCGAGGGAACACAATTGGAGTCAAATCTAAGTAACTTACTAATAATCCAAATAATTTTTAAAATCTAACTTGGCTTAGGTTGAAAAGGCATCATTGCTTGAAATATCATACACATGTATTAGAGTGTGTGGATACAGATTTACTGTTGTTTACATACAAAGCTCTGATTTACTACAATATATAGTCATGGCTTTGTTAATAATTGGCTACATATTGTAGTAATTGACAGACATATTGTGCTTTAGATGTAAGTAAAATTTATCTCTACATTTAGAAAATGAAGAAGTTGAAAAGCCGAGACTTCTGTGGGTTCTTTACTTCAATATGAGAGATTCTTCAGACATCAGCAGGAACTCTTATAATGATTTACCATCCAACGTTTATGTCTGCTCTGGCCCAGACTGTGGTTTAGGAAATGATAATGCAGTCAAACAGGTAAGGCTGTTGGTGTTTCTCGGTTTTGTGTTAAGAAGAAGTTGGTGTGGCAGAGAAGATGAATTGTTTTTTCCTCTGGGAGATGGGAAAAGAGACTAGAAAAGCATCTCTCTCATTTAATACCATCTCTGCAATTTGCCGCTAAACTTTTTTCTATGAACAACAAAGCTACTTTAAATAAAGTATCAGTTATTTTCACATTCTTGAATATAATGATGAATTACAAGAGATCATTTATGAGTTCCATTGAGGGACTATAGATGGAAAATGTTAGAAATATATATTCAGAAAAATGAGTTTATAATGCCAGTATTCTAAAGAAACATTGCTTATAATTTAAACTGTTGGCCTATCAGTGTATTATTTTGAAATACACAAACCTGTTTTTCTGTTAACCTGAGTCATTTCAGAGGGAGTGTACCTAGTAAGGCATACAAAATGTAATTTTTTTTTTTTTTGAGGAAGATTAGCCCTGAGCAAACATCCGTTGCCAATCCTCCTCTTTTTGCTGAGGAAGATTGGCCCTGGGCTAACATCCGCGCCCATCTTCCTCTACTTTATAAGAGACATTGCCACAGCATGGCTTTATAAGCAGTGCGTAGGTCCGCGCCTGGGATCCGAACCCGTGAACCCCGGGCCGCCGAAGCGGAATGCCTGAACTTAACTGCTACGCCACCTGACCGGCTCCCAAAATGTAATTTTTAAATGGTTTTAAGGTATTTTCTTATCTTGGAAAAGAAAATGTAACCTGTAGTTTTTCACAGTTAACATTATTCCTTTAATGTTTTGACACAAGCCAGTGTCCCAAGAGCTACTATTATAGCTGCTGACCAGTATGTTAAATCAAGGTAGAATTTTGTGACAGCACTCCTGGGCAGGGCTTTGAAGAGGTACAGGGCAGGCTGACACAAGCTGCCAAAAGTGAACTATGATTCCATTAAGCTAAAGATTCATATGCATATACAAATACAGTTCTCTGCACTGACAGGAAGAGAATAGCAGAAAATATCATTTTTTGAGGCACAAGTCTAAATTTTTCACAGATATAGTTGGCATATCTGTCTATTGAATCAATAAATGGATAATTTAACATGTTTTAAGACCACAGATGGAAGTTTCATTCCCACTAGTGGCAGGAATCTTATAGAAGCAAATTGGCCTCATTGAGCCTTTCATCTAATTTTTAGTCATAGCAGCAAGGCCGTGACCCATACATTTACAGTTTTTGCCAGATTCTCTGTTTCTCATCTTTAGAGTCTAATGGTCATCTTGGATAATCATATTCAGCCAGTAAGAACAAACAAAAGCAGGAAACCCCATCTCTCATCCATCATTCATTCTATTCGTTTAATAGGAACCCAAGGTGGTTCAAGATCTACATTTATGGCTTAAAATGACCAACTCATTTTTGCTTTGATGGTCCACTTTTTTCCAAGCAGAAATTGCCAACAAGTTTTCAGCCAGGTAACTTAGGTCGTTTTTATTCCTAAGTGAACTTTAATGTTTTTTAACCAAAATGGAAGGCCTTTTGAATAAGGACTTATTTTACAAGTGCTAATGTGATAAACTGCAAGCTAGAAGGTTGTAATTTAAAGGATCATTTTATCATTAGGTAATTTGCTTCCCAAGAAGATAGACTTCAGGAGTACAGCGTTATCACAATAGAAAATAGTATAATGCTGGTTTTGGTACTAATTATTATATGCTATTAAATACAAATAGTTTTAAATTTGTTATATAGCTTTTAACCTCACATCAGTTTTGGGAGAAATATTATAATGCCTACTTTAAAGGGCAAAAATAATAATATTTACAAGTAGCCAGTTTATTCAAATAAACTGTGTTCTGATTCCAGTATATCATCCTGTGTTCATTCCAATCACTAACTGATGACTTCAGTTTTCCAAATTGTCTATAAAAGCTCTTAGAACATCACCTAGGCTTTGCTTGTGTAGAAAACATAAGCACCTACAGATTTCTTTTTTTACAAAAAAATGCTTCATTTTACATTAGCAAGTTTGCATCTGCTTTTCTTAGCTGTAAATGTATAGATGTTGAATAACATAGACCTGTCTCCCTTGTGTTCATCTGGAACTATTTATGATTTGGAGACATACTAAAAATATAAAGTGATCTGTGTTTACTACTCACAAGTGAAAGTTGTGTGCAGGAGCACACAAAGACCTTCCCTATTATCACCACAATGATGCTAGCCTAAGTGAGAGTTGTGATTCTTTCTGTGACTTGCTAGTTTTTGTAGTTTATGTTACTTTAATTTTTCTCTGAACCGGACATACAATGTCTCTTTCCTTAATACAGGTAGTGTCTCATTTACCCACACATACTGATGAACGGACTGGTCTGTAGTCCCCTACTCTCAAGACATTCATAGCTCACTCCTTCAGGAGCCCCAATCCCCTAGGGGCTGCCACTACCATGGGAGCAAGAATAGTTAAATAGTACTGTACTCTTTGTATTATACTTCAGGTATAAAATGGGTTAAATTGGCTGATGTGGGCTGGGCTGGCAACTTAATCACGATTTAGACTGTTTTTATGGACAGATTAGCAACTTGCTTATGACTTTTGGTACATAATCTATAAGTTGAAGACTAGCTTCATAGGTCGTATGCACTATCAAGTTGCTCACATATTGCAGAATCATTCACTTTCTCATGCGTTGAGGGAGAGGGCAATTTTAGGTGTCATATTTTCTGAAGCTACCATTCACTGAGCATTTCTATGTGCCAGACACTGTCCTAAGCATTTCATATATATTACCTTGTTTGGTCTTCACAACAACCCTATGAGGCAAGTATCTGTGACATCCCCATGTTACAGATGAAGAAACTAAGGCCCAAATGGGCTAAATAACTTGTCCAAAGGTCCCATAGCTGGTAAGTTTTTGAGCCAAGATTTAACCTCAAGTCTGTTGGCCTCCAGTGCTTGTACACTCATTTAGTGTGCTGTGCCCCTTTCACCTTGTTAATGCAGGTGCATCCTAAATGCGTTAAACTGCTAGATTGGTAAGATATTTACTTTTGTGTAGATATATGTTAAATACACAGGAATATCTTAAATAACTCAGCTTGTCCTCTCTGTACTTCCCAATATAAGGAAACCAAGTAACAATATAATTAGCCCTTTTTAATTTTTTTAACCACATGAAACTCTTTACCCTATAAGCTAACTTCTGGCTTAAAAAGGGCAGGGAGGATTCAAAATTGACAGTTAACTACTCTGAACTAGCCTCTTTATGACAACTCTCAGAACTGGGGCTTAGTTGACAAATGAATTGCAACAGACCAAGAAGCATTAGGTAAACCTTCCGGAACATGGCAGTTGACCCTAAAAGTTTCCAGCATTTAGAGAGAGGAGAGACTTGGGAAAGGCTGGAGTCTGGCTGTAGGAAATTGACATCAGCGAGGGCCAGTGCCAGATGTGCTGAAGGTAGGAGTTCCACAAGCAAGTAGAGCACGGATAAGGGTAGTGCAGCAGCCTACAGTTGGTTGGCAGTCATAGCAGACAGATTGTTCATGACAGGGATATATGGAAACAGATCAAGTGGGATCCGGCCACAGGGACTGGGTTTCAGGGGAAAATCTATCCTACAGGGAGGTGGCAAAAGGGAGACCAGGTGTAAGGCAACAGAGGAACTGAAGTAAAAGTACTAGGATTGATAATAATAATATTATTATATTTATATTCAAAATTTGTACAATATACAGTTTTTAAAGTTCTTCCATTCATTAAAAATATATATATTGAGATTCTACTCTATGCCAGGCACTAAAGATCCAGAATTGACTAAAACCCAGTCGTTGTCATCCTTGGAGGAAGCACTGTCTAGTAAAGGAGAAAGACATGTAAACAAATGACGATGCAGTGTAATATATGCAATAACAGAATAATATCCAAAGTCCAGAAGTAATACAGAGGAGCCATGAGTTCTATCTAGGAGTCAGAGAACCTTACAAGAAGGATATAAAAGATGAGTATCCAAATGGAAGACATCCAAATGGAAGACAATCAAATCGAAACATTCCAGGTGTTATAGCATCTGCATCAGCCCAGGATGTAAACATCATGATGTGTTTAAGAAAGTACAAATAAACAGGTATTAATGAAGCGAAAAGTTTGAGAGGTGGCGATGGGTTGAAGTAGAAGATGAGAAGACCAGACAAGGTAGGCCTGATGGGTTATGAATGCCGTAGTAGGGATCTTGAATTTTTATCCTGTTAGAAATGAGGAGTCATTGAAGAGTTTTAAGCCAGAAGGTGGCATAAACAGAATTTCATTTTCCATAGACTGCTCTGAGGGCAGCATAGAGATGGATTACATAGGGAACCCAAGAGGCAAGGTGACCAGTCCAGTTCTGAGATGTTGCAGTTGTCTAGGGGAAAGATGGTGCATGCCTGGGCTATGTCTGTAGGGAAGGAGCACATGGAGGCAAGAACTAGGAGATAAAATTGACGGGATTTGGCGATTGATTGCATGCAGAGAGTGAAGGGGAGGGAGAACTTCTACAGACAAACAAGGTAGAGATAAAAGACAAAAAGACCATTAGAGGAACTGAAGTGGGAGGTAGAGGCTCTGTCTGAGCTCAGTCCTCCTGCTTCTAGGGGCTAAGTATCTCCAGCAAAGATGTATGGTGAGTTCCTGGGGTGGAAAGCAAAGCAGGCCTCTCAAATATTTAATTTCAAAATATCCATAATAAAACGGCATGTCCAAACATATACCCTTGAACTATACTCAAGAGGGAAAGAAGCTGTTTTTCTCTCCCTGTCCCTTCTTTCAACTCCACATCAAAGCTCAAAAGTTTCTGTTTACTACCCCTCCACCCATTCCCAAAGAATATCAGTTTGAATCACCTGATGCAGGAGTCGACTAACTGTAGGTGGCCAGATGGTAAATCATTTAGATTTTGCAGCCGTTATGGTCTCTATTGCAACTATTCAACTCTGCCATTGCAGTGCAAAAGCAGCTATAGACAACAGATAAATGAATGAGAGTGACTGTGTTCTAATAAAACTTTATTTACAGTAACAGGCAGCAGGCTGGATTTGGCCTGTGGGCCATAGTTGTCAACTCCTGGCCTAATGGATGACCTTGTGTGTACATCGGGAAGAAGGGTTGAAGTGGTACAGAAGGCTAATAGTCTTTAAAACAAGCATAAATCTTAAAACCCTTTAATGACTTTCTTTTACCAATAATACAGAGTGTAAGCTCCCTAGCATGGCAGGGACCCTTATCTAACAATGAGCTTTATGCATCTAAATAAAAGTAGCAATATGTTTGGAATAGAATAAGAATGCTACTTGCCACATTTACTTTCGTGTGTGTGTGTGTGTGTGTATTTGTTGTTGTTGTTAATTAAGGTCACATTTACTTTCTTATTTTACCCTGCTAAACTAAGCTCAGCTTAAATCTTGACATTTTAACTTATGTTATTATTAATAACAATGATAACAGCTACCATATACAGAGGCTTACTCTCTGCCATTTTGTAGACAAGGCAAGCAAGGCTCAAAAGTTGAGTAAGCATTCCCCAAATCACATTGCTGTTAAGTGACAGAGCCAGCATTTGCACATGGCTGTCTACTCAGTCCATGATCTTGAACACTGCTATACTTCTTAAAGCCCTGGGGGGGAGAAAATTATACTAGAAAAGCAAATCGTTGAGCAGACAATGAAGAATTTTCTTGATTTGAACAATGACTTGTTAAAATTATTATATGCTAAATTGTACAGAAAGAATATTAAGGGAAATTGTATTTCTGTTGACATGTAGAATGAATGTCCTTAAATTCTCAACTATAAAGAATCTGATCAAGTACTGATATACTTGAAGGGTGGACCTGAATGCATGTATAGAAGTAGGAGGAGAAAAGTCATGCAATTCTGAAAGCAGATTTTTAGAAGATCATATAAACTGGGTAAAGTTCTATAACTTAAAGAAATTTTTAAGGGTTGATACTTTATTTTTTTAATAGTGCCAAAAGGCACATACGATGTCCAAAAACTATTGTGTCCTTTCTTCCCTGGCCAGGCTGAAACACTTTTCCAGCAAATCTGCCCCAATGAAGACTTCTGTCCACCCCCACCAAATCCTGAAGACATTATCCTTGATGGAGACAGTGTACAACCAGAGGCTTCAGAATCCAGTGCCATACCAGAGGCCAATTCAGAGACTCCCAAGGAAAGCGCAAACCTGGGAAACCCAGAGGAGCCCTCTGAATAACGGATATACACCAAACTGGATACCCCACCTTGGAAATTCCTTCTGGCCTCAGAGTCTTCTTGATGGAAGAACTGCTTGAAAAATGTTAGGAAGCAGCAGCCAGTTGACATGCAGAATTACCAAGAGAAACACATCATAGAAATCCAAAAGGGAATTTTCCTTCAAGAGGACATTCCAAGAACACAAAACACTTGTAAAGCACATTGACTTGCCTGCTTTAAGATACCAAACCTGTGGAATTAGCAGATAAAAATTATAAATGGATTGATTCCCAAGAATATAACTATGGCTATGAAAGTGATCCTATGCATTGTTAATAATTCTGTGGTATTAGGACAGCTTTTGCTTGCCGCTTTGGATCTTTGTTTGAAAGGTACCTCTTCCGAATCAGCTCATATATTTCCTTTGGTTATTTGAATTATATTTTTTGTGAGTATGAGCATCATGACACAAATGATAAAAGCATATGTAAATATAGTTGAGAAAAATTAAACTGTCGTGATGCAGGCAGGAGCCTATGTTTGGAATAGAGGTTTGTTTTGTTTTCTATCTTGAGAAGTATTGAAAATGCTAATATTAAAGTAGACATTGTTACAAATCGTGAGTCCACCACTCAGTGTTTTTTAATGTTAGTAGTGATATTTATATATGAATCATTTACACACTAGGAGAGCTCAGTACTGAAGAAATGGAAAGAAAGATTTGGATAGGCTCATCAATATTTGGAAGTTCTGTCTAGTCAAGTAACTGGAGCACTAGCCTAATTGTCTATGGACCTAATTTAGTCCTAGCTGTGCTACTGATATTAGGCAAATTGTTTAATTTCTGGGCCTCAGTTTCTCCATATGTAAGGTGGAAATAGTAATACCCTGTCTACTGTCTGACAGTGATTTTAAAGATAAATGCAGTGCCGCCTTTAGAATGCTTTTTCTGGAAGGAAAGTTGTTTCAGAATTTTCTCATTGACTTGGGGGTGAATATCAAAAATCTCATGCAGCAAATACTTATTTGATATCAACTCCCCCAACAGAATATATCAGGGGAGTTGTTTTTATTGCATTAAGCTTTTAAAATAAAAATCTATTTCCTAAATTAATATTTTATAGTCTTATAAACTAGTAAACAATAAAATGTAGAACTGTGGTTTTGAATCTTAATAAAGAAAACACTCTGTAAGTTCTTCATATTCCTTTTCTGGTAGGTAAACCTGAAACCACCAAGGACTCTGAATAGAGGATGACAGTTGGTAAACCCTAATATGCACTTAATGTAAAAATGTTAGAGCTGTACATAGGCAGCAAATCTAGTTACAGTGACAGTGCCTGTATTAAAATTTTTCCAAATGCCAAGCTCTGATGGTTTACTTTTTTTGAGCAATAGTTTGGACTTAATAACTTACTTCAATAAATAAATACATAAAAAGTCTGTTTGCCGCACAGTCTGGCCTATGTTGCCCATCAGGGAGCCATGGCTACAGTGGAAAGCACATAGTTCTTACACACTTTAGCTACAGCTGGGCTCTGACCTCTCCAGATTTCCGAGAAGATCTTAAAGGAAGCCAGCTCTGTCAGTCCACAGACTCATGGGAAATGGAAAGAACCAAGGAATGTAGCTCTTGCCTCACCTTTCCAAACCCTTGCAGATACTGCTCAATCCAGATGAAAGGAAAACCTTCCCAGCCTCTCAGGCTATTCCTAACCCCTCTGCCCATTGTACAGCCCCTTCCCTATCTCTTTAGTCCCCTCTTTCCCTTTCTTCCCCCTTTATAATGTTATACAAATCAGGGACAGGAGAATCACATTAAAACCTACTTTGTTATATGGATTCAGACCTTTCTTTTTTTTTTTTTAATTTTTTGTTTATTGCAGTAACATTGGTTTATAACATTGTAAAAATTTCAGGTGTACATCATTATACTTCTATTTCTGCATAGATTACATCATGTTCACCACCAAAATACTAATTACAACCCATCACCACACACATGTACCGAATTATCCCTTTCACCCTCCTCCCTCCCCCCTTCCCCTCTGGTAACCACCAATCCAATCTCTGTCCCTATGTGTTTGTTTATTATTGTTATTATCTACTACTTAAGGAAATCATACGGTATTTGACCTTCTCCTTCTGACTTATTTCACTTTGCATTATACCCTCAATGTCCATCCACGTGGTCACAAATGGCTGGATTTCATCATTTCTTATGGCAGACCTTTCTTAAATCATGTTTCCTGAAACCCAACTATGGCACGCACTAAATGCACGATACATACATTTAAGCACTGGCTATTGGCCCTGCCCCTCAATACCAGCAATATAAAAGGTTCCACTGTATGAGAGTATTGAGTCTGAATACAATTGCAGTTAAGTTGCACAAATTAAGGTATTGTATTTTGTTATAGTCTTCGAGTTAAGGCCTCTTGAATACAGCATGCACATTTATGTGAACAGCCAATCAGGGTAGGCCCAGAATAACTAGAAAATTTCTGATAGCTTTACTGCAGCTATCTATATGTAGAAGAAGGAATGGGGTATTCTGTGGTCTCATGGCCCAACCCATATTGTGTACTACTTCATCCATTAGCTAGCATCAGAATCTCTCTTCCGGGTTATTAAGTACTGTTGAAATGTTTAAAAGCTCCTCGGTGTGATTAGTGATGATTAAGATATTATACGACTGTTAAAAACCTTGTGTTAGAGAACTTTAGATATTTCCTGTTGCCTCAGAATATAATAGAAATTATTCTAAGAGCTTTCTTTTTAGCTATCTTAATTACTGCAGATAAATGTTTGTTTTCATCGTTTTAAGTCAAAAAAAGACAAACCTTTTTGTTTTGTTGTAAAACCGTAAGCCTGAAGTCATATGAATAAAAGTAATATGTTATACATGATGCAGAAATTTCAGTAGCTAATTTAAAATTTTGAAAATTGCTATTATCAAAGAATTTTGATTCACGTGTTTAAAATGTTTAGTTATGCATGCTGCTTATTAACAAAAAATGATAATACCATTGAGTTTAGTGATCAATATGAAAACCAATTACTAACCCTAAGTTGATATTGTATTTTTGTCTAGTTGGTATGCCTGCCCAGAAAAACATATATATTATAAACATATATATTTTTAATAGGAAAGCTGAGTTATAATTTTTCCCTGTCCCTATGATATTTAGTTGCCCATAGTAAAATGGCATGTTAATGGTTAACTTCTAGAATGGTCGTGTCTGAGACTGGCAGAATAATGTCTAAAATAATGGCCATGCTAATGTTAACTTCTGTTACAGCTATAGTTCCCAAGAAGGCAGCTTTTTTTCTAAAGTTCTGAAGACCTAAAAAAAATTTGTTGAAATTTGATTGCTAAATAGTAGTTAGTGATCCTTTAAGACAGGAATTAAACAGTTTTCTTACAAATAAATTATTTACTGCTGTTGTTATTGAATAATTTTTCTTCTACTCTCGGTTAACTTATATGCATTTCAAAAAGCATGACTATATGATTATTTATAATTTGCAAACTGTAACTGTACTTTTTCAGAGGAAATAAAGTCTGTTTTCAATGCCTTTCAGGTGTGGTATCCTATTTTTTTAATATTAAAATCTTATATATATGCTAATAAATTAAAGATTGTCTTAGAAATGATTTGTTTCTATCAGTCTATTATTTAAACAGTTAATTGTCCAGCTGTATACTTGGTTTTGTTTCTAGGCATCTGTCAACTGTGAGAGGTTTGTAAGAAAGGCAATCAAATGATACACGAATATGATTTACTTAGCAAACTGTTCTAGATGCCAGCATCAGACCTCATTCTGTTTGAAATCAATGCTGTGAGGCATGGGCTATGGCTTTACAGTACATCGATTGCCTACAAACTGTTTGCACATCTCACTTAGTGTATGAGGAGCTGAAATGTTTTTCATATTTACTTGGTGAATGAGAACATGTTTTTCTCTGTGGTGATTGAGTCCCCAACTGCTTACTTGCAACAGACAAGAGACTACTGATGTTCTTTTTATGCAGAAATCATTCGTTGAGCTATGATTTGTTCTTGAATCAAATAATTAAAGCAGAGTGACATTTTCTGTCAATTCCAAGTGGTTTCTAAAGCTCAGACAGGATGCATTCAAAAGATAACAGGACTTTCAAAACTGGCAATTTATCCATGAGATTATTAATAAATCAAGTTTAAGAAAGATGAGGTTAATTGAATTTTTAAACAAGTAGCTGTATTATCCTTCAAGCACCTTGGAGCTCATGCAGTCTTCACACTTTTTTTTAAAACAAGTACTTTGATGTGTTTTAATTCTCTTTAATGAAGGCTTTTTTTAAAACGCCAGTTAAGTGGTTTAACACTTAGCATCCCAGGTCACATTTTGAAGGCCACTTTTCTTTCCATCAATACAGTTTAGCTGTGGGGCTGCAGTGAGATGCCCTTCTATACAAATTGCCACGTCTGCTTTTTCTGGTGATGATGACTGTTAGGACCATTTGACAGGTAATCGTTAGAAGTTGAATCCTCGTAGACTGTAGGGTCTTTTCGCCTATCACTGCAGGGGGATTTATGTTGGTAATTCCTATTAATGTTAATAGGACTTGCATGTGTAAATCCTCTTCCTATCAATGAGACAGTTGACCCCTAAAAGAAATATTCTTTAGAAATGGACCTTCACTGATCTAGAAGCATTAGTGAATTATTCTATTCAAGATTTTCATGTGTGGAAAAAAATAGCAAGACTGTACCAATTCAGCAGAGGATTTGTTTATAGAGCTTGAAAAGATGAAATATTAGCCCTTAATTTTCCATTCCCGTTTCTAGTACATATTAGATACTATTTTTCATATTACCAACATAGCTTTTTTTCTTATTTTTGAAAGAAGAATTTAATCGAAGTCACATTATTATGTGCCACTACTATCCTAAAAGTTCTGGAAATATTGAACATTTTAAAGCTATGTAATAATACCCAGTCTCATAGCAATCAAGGAAATGCAGACCAAACCAAGAGATAAATTTTGCTCAAGT